GAGCCCCCACATCTACGTCAAAAGTGAGCCATGGGCTCTCTGCACCCCAATCTTAGGTCCCCCCAGATCTAAATAAAAGAGAGGTGCTGGGGGTTCCTGTGGCCACTGCGTTGCCTCAGGATTCAGGAGTTGGAGTCCCCGGAGCCAGAGAGCAGTTTCAGTCTGTGCTGACTCCACAGACAGGATCAAAACAGCATGAAAGAAATCAGAGAGAGAACATAGTCGGCAGGAGCTGGACTTCTAAAACCCCCTTCCGCCCCCATAGGCTTCGATATTAAAAAACCCCCTAGGAGCCTCAGACACTGTATTAATTAGTGCAACCACCCATGAAAAGTTGGGTTTGGAGCGGCATTCTTTGCCCTGTGTGAAAAACCAAGTCTAATAAACAATTGTTAAGTTGGCCTGTTGCCGCTGGTAAATTACATAGCATTAAAAAAATAATGCTTTTCATATTAGGCACTAAATAAAGGTTGGGACAGCTTTAAAACAAGATAGGGAGGGGGGAAATCAAAGAAAATATAAAAATGTTCTTTCAAGAGTTATGGGAGGTTAATAAAGTATGTCTGTTAGAGTGAGCCTACTTTGCCCCTAGCTACAGCCAAACTGGAGCCACCACAATTGGGTCTCAATAAGATAATGATATTCCTTTCTCTGCTATTAAAAGCCTCCCAGTGCAAACTTAAAATGATTTATTTAATTTAGGAAATTATGAGGTGTAACTTCAAAGCCTGAGCCGTTAGTAATGGAAAATACCAGGTTGTTTAAAATTATAATAATAATTGTTTGGAGGACTCAGGACATCAAAGTGTTTTCATCAACAAATGCAGAGGGGTCCCGAGAAGGTTGGAAGGAGTCAAAGGAGGTGGATGAGGTTTGGATTTGATTATTATGAACCTTATCAGGGCAGGATTCAGGATTCCCGCAGCCTGGTACTCTGTTCTGCTTTGAAGCTGGCTATTTTGGAAAGTAATTTTACTGCTTTTTACTTAGTTCATAAGAGGGAGGAGAAGAGTGGGTGGATGGGGGTGGGAGAGGGGATATAGTGGTCCAAGAGTTGACAGAGGGCTTTTTCTCCTTGCTGTGGCCACATTATTTCCTTCAAGAGGCCTGCAGCATCACCAGTTAGGGGACGAGAGCATTTTTGCTTACTTGGAAGGGGAAAACAGGCACAGTCAACTTCACCAACCAGGCCCTGTGATTTTGGAGAGGGAGTGTGTGTGACGTGGGTTCTTTTATAAATGAGGTTTATGCTCATTTCAAACCAAGCAGTGGAGAGGGAGTGGGGGTGGGGGAACGGCCTCTCCAACCCGTGGCAAATGAGCGGCTTTTAAAGCAAAGAATGGCCGTGGGAGTTTTCATTCGGTCAGACAAGGTTCTGCTCAAAGGCAGGGATCCTCTTTTCAGTCGGGTCAAGCAGACGTTTCACCAGTGAGCGCTCTCAGCCCAGCCTTCGCTGCCTACCTCCTGCTGCCCTGCCCCCCTCCCACCACCGCCACCCCCCTGCGTCGCCGGGGTCCAGGAGGCAGGGTTGGGAGGGAAAGGGGAGGAGGAGGGGAGGGGGCTTGGGTTGAGCTTGAGGTCCAACGCAAGCAGGAGCTGAAACCCTCAGCCAGAAACCCCTCACGGAAATTCGGGGTAGGGAACGGGGGCCAGAGAAAGACCTGTGCTCACAGGGTCTGGGTGGGGACCTGAGGGTTCCCCAGGCAGCTGCATCATTTCTGAGACAGCCCCGGCTGGGCCTACTTTTGCCAATGCTGATGCCCACCTACTCAGCTCACACTTAGGCCTGGAGTCCTCTGCCGCTGCACACAGCTCTCTGACCTTAGTGAGCCACCTCTCCGTGCCTCAGTGTCCTCAGCTATAAATGACATCAGTAATACCTCTCCAAAAGGTGTGTGACAACTAAATGAAAACACGTGCAACGAAATGCCTGCTTCTGCATTCTACAAGGGGCTCAAAAAATGTGATTTCCCCTGCTTTTGTTCCTTCTTTCCAAAAAGCAGAGCCATCTCCCTAAAAGAGTTTGGGAAGAAAGCATTGAACGTAGAGAAGGGTGAGTGAATTGGTGTGCCAGGCTTCTGACAGCTGACGCAAGGATGTCCAAAGCCTGCAGGCTGGCAACTTTGGCTTCCAGCGCAGGGCTGAGCGAGTTCTTGGTGAGTGAAGGTCCTTCTGCCTCCACAGGTTGTCAATCTAGCCTCTGAAACAAAACTCCCTGCTTGCCCGACCAAGCTTGACCGCAGCCTGGACCAGACTGCGGTGCCTGCCGAAATTTAACTTCAGGCAGGAGGCACAGAGGGAGCTTCAGAGTATGGTGACAGCGTGGCGCCCTGGACCTCTGGCTTGGTCCTCACCTCATCCACCTTGTAGCTTCGGGTGCGAATTTGAGCCTAAGCAACGCTTTTCCTGAAGTTGTTTAGGCAACTGAGGCAATGGGGATGGTGCGGAGTTGACCAGAGACCGGTCTACCCGCCAGCTGCGCAGGACGCAGCCCGGATTCTCCGAACCCGCATTCTGAATCGCGACCTCCTCCTCCCTGGGGCAAATGGAACCTTAACCCTGAACTCACATCTCTGAATGCTTCCACTCGGCTTGAGATCGCCCGAGGCTGCGGTGTCCGAGCGGCGCCGGGAAGGAAGCTCGGTGGACAGGCTAATTAGGGACCCAACTTGGCGGCGGATGACGAAACCGGGAAGGGCTTTGGCCTTTGGGAAATGCCTCGGTTCAGTGAATATGGCTGGAATATGGCTGGATTTCGGAAGGGGATTAAGAGTTGGGGCTGGAGCCTAAAAGGTCCAGGCCGGTGGCAGAGAAGTATCTTTGGGTAGGTTTGGGTCGCACGACCAAGCAGGAAGAAATCAGCCTTCAACTTAAGTAGACCCTTTGGCTTGGGTCACACTCTGTGCTAAAGTTGTGAAACTTCTTGTACAGGATGCCCGAACCCTGGCAGCCCCCGACCCGCGGGCAAATGGAGTTTCTGGTGCTCACCTCCAAAGTGCGTGCAGGCACAGTGAAAACGCGGGAGAGGAAGCACCGATCCAACAGACGCCAGGTGCCAATGTGCCGGCGCTTGGGCAGCAAGTCGTTTGCTTCCCTTCTGCCTCTGTTCCCAGGGTCCCTGGGGCTTCCCATCCGAAAATAGACCTCAAGGAGGTAACACCAGGAGCCACTGAGGATTTATTTGTGAAACAGAAGTCTGAGTTTTAGATTTTCTCCATCTCCCCACCCAACGCTATTTTATTGGTGATACCTCCAAATGCAAGGCTGACCAGCGTCTTGTATCCAGTTTCCACCCAGAGATGACTAGGAGCAAGGAGGACTTTCCCTTTCAAACATGAAATGTTTGTTCCAGGGTCCACGTCCTCTGAAGGATATAGGAATGATGAACGCATTGCGATTTGACACACTGCAGAAACAGCAGCATGCATCCACATCCCCTCTAACCACCCCACCCCCCCAAGAAGGGCCATTTAGTTGCCATCTCCCTTAGCATTCTTACCTTCAAGTTTGCTGTTTTGGTAACTGGGAGATTTCTCCCTTGGCATTCTTACCTTCAAGTTTGCTGTTTTGGTAACTGGGAGATTTCGTGTTCAAGATCGTCCCTTGATCATCTACAAACTACTTAGATTCTGGCCAAACTCTCTGCCTCATTTGTAAACTCATGTTTGGCTGTAGTTTTACTGAAAAATTGCTAACAGTAACTCCACCTCTTTTCCATGAGTAACACAAGCTACCAGAGGGAACATTGCTAAGTACTTCAGTATTATTTCAAATGACTCCTTGCCGCCACCACCACCAACCCCATCCTCAACAAAGCTTGAATCTGGCTACAACTCTTGATTTACATTTAAGTAATAAAAAATAAGAAGAAAAACCAGACCTCCCCACCCCATCTGGGTGGCATTTTGGACCTATATCCAGCTAAGAGAGAAATTCTAAAAATAATTTTGATTTTAAACAAACTTTACTGCAATAAAACAAATGTTTAATTTAATTCAGAATGAGATAAGAAATAACTCTTCAATAAAATATATAAAATTGTACAAGGCACCCTTTCAAAGGGATAAAAGTATATTGGAGGGAGGGGACAGATGGATAGGAAGTGAAATGCCAGGGAGCTAAATGGGCTGTTTGACAACACCATTTTAAGCAAGTCAAAACATGGTTTTACCCTCTGCCCCCAACATGTTAAAAAGTACAAATTTTTCTAATAAGTTTAGCACATACAATAGGTACACACACAGAGAAAGCATTTTTTTTTTCTTTCTGGATCTATTAATTGTTCGAGAATATTTAGCACACAGGTAACAGTTACAAGATACTCTCTTTGAAGAAGAAAATTACTACCCGTACCCCCAACCACCATTGCTATGTGTAAGGATGAACATACCTAGTATTTCACAGAAACCATCAATTCCTCCCAATGGGCTTTAACTTTTCACCCTCCAATTATCTGAAATGAAGTTAACAGCCTTGAGAAGAATTAGGAAGTTTTCCCATTTTCACCTTGCCCCAGGCATTCTCTGGATTCTTCTCATCCCCATTACTGATTTTAGCAGGAAAAAAAAAAAAGGCAAAAGTTCAACAATGAGGGGGGAGGGGTGAATAAGGCCAAATTTGGTAGTATCTAGTAACATTTCTTTTAATGAAAATAATGCAAAAGTGTGATGTGTTCCCTTCACATTGAAGAATGTCTCCATATCTAATACTTTCTATGTGCATTGTGTCTAACAATTATCAAAATTGCCAAAGTTTAACAAATTTTACAAACAATTTGTCTCCCCCTTTAAGAAAATATTATGGACTTAAACAGAGATGATATATAGAAAAAGTATATATAGATATATAAATTTCACTTTTCAAAATAATTTGAATTTTTACATGTGCTGTATAAAAATGTATTATATTTTATTATATATATTTATATATAAAAACCATCAGAGCCAATCTTTGTGAAAGGAGTTGGGGACATCTGGATGATTACACCAAGCAAACAGGGCTCAGTGCCTCCACCTAAAGCACAAATTTCAACTATGTTGTGTGGCCCTGTCCGCCTAGCCGCTTAGGGTGATTCATGCAGGGTTTGCAGAGCAGGAGTACTGGGCTGGTGTTGCCTTCTTGGAGAGGGAGAGGGAACCCTTTGAAACAAACATCCATCGTGGAGTCTATGGATCTGGTCTTCCTTAGGACAGGTGGTACATGCCATATCCGACTGGCGTGGCATAGAGTCCGACGGGCGGGATGGGAAGCACAGGTCTATGGAAAGGGTAGGATGCTCCATATATGGATGCTGCCTGCAGGGGTGAGCTGATGGGGAAAGGGAGACTGAAGCCGGAGGGCAGCATTGGTTTCGCAGCCATTTTCAGCTTTTCCAGTTCGGCCTCCTGCAGTCTTTTTGCCTTGGCCCGTCGGTTCTGGAACCAGATTTTGACCTGGGTCTCTGTGAGGTTCAGAGAGCTGGAGAACTCTGCACGCTCTGCAATGGAGAGGTACTGTTTCTGGCGGAACTTGCGCTCCAGAGCAAGGAGCTGAGACGTGGTAAAGGGTGTACGTGGCTTCCGATTGGTCTTGTGTTTTCTCAGGGTGCAGGTAGTAGGGCTCATATGTCCTAGAGAACAGAGAGGGAAATAGATTAGCAAAAGAAAGGGGTATTCTCTCCAGGTTGGTCCACAGGCCTTCCTTCTCAATTGAAATCACTTAGCTTTAAAAAAGGGAGGGGGTGTTACTTATATGTATACATATATTCACACATGGATATATCTTTATCCTTCAAAAAAAGTACTTGTCAAAACCATATGTGTTTGGGGGAAGGCAGGAATGGAAAAGGATCCTATTTAAACAAATAAGTTGCTTTATGTTTAAAAATGAGTCTTTTCACAAAAATTGGGGAATCTAATGATATAACAGAACTTTTTATATGAAAAACAACATTAGAAATAACAGAACATAAGTCACAAGTCAAGGGAGTAAAGTATTCTCTTAGAAAAATAAAGCTATCTTTCTTGAGTTGAATTTCTCTTGTCTGAAATAGGAGGCTGGGGTCAGGATTATCCTCACCATCCTTGGATGCTGAAATAATCACAAAGGAGAAGGAAAATGAAAAGAGTCTTAGCATTGTGAATAGCTGTTTCCCTTAGTCCTCTCTCTGAACTAGAAAAAACTGGATTGTGTCAGAATATGTATGAAGGATAATCATGCAGATAAGGTCTGTGGTAAATTAATAGCATCTTTGGACTTGGGGGCAGTCCCATGCAGTAAACAACCACACAGCTGTCATTCTATCCAGTCTACAGATTATAAAACCCGAACATCATTTTAAAGATCTGGATGTGGGATAAGTTTCTTGGCCCGGTGCTTCTGTAATATAAACTTTACTAAGACGAAGGGAAAAATTAGCTCCCCCATAAATGTAAATGTCAAGAGAAATTATGCTGCCTGTGAATTGAAAGCACGTGACGCGATGACATTTTAGTCATCTCTTTACCCATTCCATGGTTTAGGGTGAATGTGTAAATGATTAGTTTGTCAACAGAATTTAGAAGTGGAGAATAACAAGCAAAATAAAGGTATACCAAAAGCCTCCAGACTCCATATTTAAAATGGATTCAATTACAGCAAATCATAGGACAGGGCATCCTTGTGGTTCCTTGTTTTCCTCCAGGATGGTGGGAGGAGGGTAGAGCTGTGGTGATTGAATGCTAAACAATTAGTTTTCTGCGCTTGGCTTTTATGAGCTACGCTAATTTTCCAAATGTAGCCACAGCATTAACTCCAATGCACTCATCGGAGAATGTCACATTTCTTGTTTAGTTACTTTGATGGCCCAAGAAAGAGTTTACACTGCATACTTTAGGGTGACACAGCACAAGTCCCAACTGAGCCTCCGTTTCTAGCAGGAGATGGATTTGTCCTGGTGTCACATTATTAGCCATCACTTCACTTACTGAAAAATAAAAAGGTAGCAGGTTCTGTAATCAATCAAATAAAAGAAATGTGGGAGAGAGCTGGGGAAGAAATGACCCTAAAAATCTATGCTTTTGAATGTGCTAATTCTTAAGTAAGCCAGAGAGAAAGTCTACTTAATTTACAAATTAACAACACTGGTGGAGACTCTGAAGAATTCTCACCCTTTCCAAACTTGACCTGGCTCTCGGTAGGACCCAGGTGTCTCAGTTCAGATAGTAAGCTTCTAATGTATACACTTGCTGCTGACTCTACCTGGAAGTTTGAAGCATGTCTGCGCCTGAGCAGGGTAACTCCAGCTGTTCCTTCAGGTTGTATTTGAATCATGAAATCAAGGCACCAAGGATCAAATGTGTCTCAAAGCCATGAAGCTAGGAGGCTTCCTCCCTGGGCACCACTCCCCAATCTCCCCAACACTCCCTCCCCCCATTTTAAACCAGCCAGAGGAAGGATGCGATTATACAAAGCAAAATAACATTTATCCTACTTCCTCCAAATAACAAGACCAGCCCCAGGCTCCTTGCTTCGTGTTCCCGGGACCCACTGCTCCAACCAAGGGCTCCCACCACCACCACCTCTAGGCCTAAAGCACAAACAACTTTTTCTTTATGTTTTAAAATGAAACCTTTTCTAAGATCCTGTAGTTCTTTTCAAAGAATGGTCACATCCAGGGCCCAAGGTTACCATACCAAAAGCAGGAAAGCTAGAGTGCAGGGCAGGTTGACAGGGCTAGTGGTAAACTCCTCCCAGACCTCCAGGTTTAAGGATGCAGGGATTTCTGACTTCTAGACTGGACTACTCCATTAAGGCCTATATCAATGATATCCCACTGGGCACTGCCCCAGGCTTAGGAATCTACAAAGACTCAATATTTGTCAAACAAATTAAGTCTCTTAATGTTTCTGAGTTTCCTTTCTCACAGCCAATGAAATGGGTAAGCAATATGAACTCTCATCTCAGTATGGTCCCCACTACTAAATTTTAAAATTGCCCAGACCTGGGGTCTTCCACCTGGTAGGTAATCATTCTGTTTCTGAGCTTTTTTTTTTTTTTTTTAGTCAAGCCCAAACTGCCAGTTCCTCTGAACTCTGGAACATTCTCATCTGTTAACAAGAGGAGGCTCCTGCCCTAACAGGTGATCAGATAAGATAATATGGTGAAAAGTGCTGTAAAGCACTGCACAAACCAGAGTTTGAATTCTTTGAGTCCTTAATCGTTTGGCCCTTTTTGTAATAGGGCGGAGAGAGACTGCCAAATGGGATACTGACGCCTGGGTATATGGCCTGGTTTTGTTCACACAATATTGTGCATCTTGAGTTTTGACAGCTGAATGATGGAAATGGAGAAAGGGTCAGGGTAGACGATGGAGGAGAGACCGGGTAGAGAAATCTTAAAGGCCAAGAGGGAAAAGTAAAAAAAGCTATAGGGAATAACTTCTTTAAATGATAAAAGGACCTGGGTCTAACCAAATAGATGCCTGAAGGGGAAGAGAAATTATTGAGGCCTCACTTGTGAGGTACAAGTGTGAACTTCAGTGTCTCCCAAGAGAGAAAGAAAAGGTGGCCAAAAGGTACCTAACAGAGGAGGGACAGGGCTTGGGCACCAGGTCCCTGCGACTAATTTTGCGGTTTTTGGTGACCTGGGACAAGCAAGTGCAGTCCTCAGCATTCACGTCTGGAAAAGACAGTAGCCACAGGTCCCCAGCCTCTGCCCACACTTGGGGATTCTAGCAAGGATCTGGATCTGATGAACTAATGATTATGACTTTTAAACTCTCAAGCCCTAATTAAATACTGTTAATTATTTCTATAAGCCCAGCAGAGAGCCCGAGAGCGTCTGGCCCCAGCCCGCTCCCAGCGAAACTCAGAACTTCGTCAAAAAGGCGAGGGGACAACCGGGAGACATTTCTTCCCCGCGTTGGTCTGTGCCACCCTCACTTCGTGGGATCCGGCTTGTACCCCTGCGGAACCCACGAAAGAAAATGATTTCTACTCAATGTCTGATTAAGGCCAGTTAACTCATCTTTAAAATGGGGGCGCACCTCGCAGGAATTTGAGTTTTGAAAGTAGGTAAGGCGCCCGCCTTGAGTCTGGCACCCATGCCAATGCTCACTGAAAGTGGATCCCTCCTTGCTCCCTAGACAGAAACCCCTGTGGATCGTCTAAGAAGCTAAGTGGTCGGAGCGCAGGAGAGCGGTGGGAACAGACAACTGAATGGTGACCCCGTAAACACAACTGGGGTTCGCTCTTCAAGAACCACCGAGTTCGCACTTGTGTTGAACACTTGGTATAGCGAGGGATCTCGGACACACACAGCGCAGACGTTACCCAAAGGGAGTCTTGGATGCGGACGACGCGCTGAGCTCCGAGTATCGAGGGGGTCACAAATTGCTAGGCTTCCTTTCCCGGGCGTACAGCACATGCAGAAAGGCTCTCGGTACCCGCAGCGAGGAATACCCGCCCCCAGCTTCCTCCAGTATCCCTTGTCCCAGCCCCGGCGCGCACTCACTTGGCGGCGGTGAATATCTGCCGGGTTCCTGCATCCATGCCGCTCCATCTTCTGAATTTTCCGACTTAACTGAAGCGGTCTCAAAGGGCTTGACCAGCGGCCCAGGGCTGTGCGCTTCCCGGGCGCCGTGTCCGGGGAGCAGCAGTGGCCGCAGGGTGGCCGCGGCCGAGGCGCTTTCGGCCGGCAGCGGCGACGGCTCCTTGGGCGGCTTCTTGTCCGACATGAGCGCCTCCACGCTGAAGGGTAGGCTGGAGACCTTGACGCGACGCTCCTCGGCGCCCCCCTCTGCCACCCCAGGCCCGGGGCCCGGCCCAGCCACCATCGCCGGGCCCTCCTCATCGGATGAAAACAGGTCATTGCCTTGGGACGGAGAAGCCATGACTTCTCTGCCCTACGTAGCTCCCGGCGCGCGACTCCGCTGGCAACCCAGCTGCGGCGACTCCAACTTTTTGGGGGGGAGAACGGGAGGGGCGCGCTGAGAGCCGAGCCTTTCCTCCAAGGGGAAGTGGGAGACTCGGCTCAGCCAATCCGCGCCGGATAGGTCGCTGACGCCAAAGTCGCTCGTCTCCAATTGGCTCCTCCAGAAGAGACTGAGGTTTTTTTTTTTTTTTTTTCCTGTTTGAAATAAATTAGGAGTTAATTACAGGAGCAGTCAGCAGAGTTGTTATTAGGCGATCCCTCAAGGGTTATAATCACGCCGAAACTGAAAAGCCCAAGACGTAATTAAGGTCGATTATTTAAAGAGGAAGTTCTCCGAATCCCATTTCTTCTTCTTCTTTTTTTTTTGACCCCTCTTTATAAAAGGTACCCCATGCACATCCCAGTACCCCACCCCGCCAGAATACGTCTTAAAATCTGAAATAGCATTGCAGAAACATTTTTGAAGCTCTACTATGCGCCAAGTTTGAGCTCACTTTGCAATTGTAGGAGTTCGCACTAAAAAACATGCGCTAGCATCCCTGTTAAAGGAAATAATAAGTACGTGGCGCTTAGAAGACTACCCTGCCAGCGGCAATCGCTTAACGGCATTCTGTTATAACTCGTCCCCCCCGCAAAAAAAAAAAAAGAGGGCCGAGAGTGAGCCTCAGAAGTGGTTAGTTCCTGCTCTGTCCCAAACAGTTTTGAGTGGAGAATTTAAACCAATTGTCACCATCCTTTCCTCTTGAAAACAGAGCCTTCCCACTTTCACAAATTTCAAATCTGTCATGATTTCTTTTCCCTAGAACTGCCTTTCTGGGCGAGATTCAGATCCCTTTTTTTTTTTTTTAAGTCAGTGCGAATATGTGTTCCTGAATTTGTTTGAACCTGTGTTTGTCATGTGTGTTTGGATGCCAGAGTTTGCCTTGGAGGGTGATGAAGAGGGAGGAAAAGTCGCAGATAGATAACATCTAGTGCCTCTCTCACTTTGCAAATCTCAGAAATACCGGATTCCAAGTTTGCATACCCCAGGCCTGCAGTACCTTTAGGGGAAGCACATTTTTATTCATTGCCCCTGGTTTTTTTAAGGAGCATAAATATCCCCACCTCACTCCAAATTATACCCTCGGTAATTATGTCCTTAAGCCTCAGAGATGGCTGTCTCAGCCCGGGAAAGGAGAGAGCGAAATTCCAGTCGCAGAGGCCTCGATCTCTCCGCAGATCCACAAGACGCTGGGCCTTCTCTTGAAAAGTGGCTTCAAACAAACTCTTTCCAGGCTTCAGCTGCTTTTTCCTACATCGGGCGATTATCTGGAGAGGGATGAGATAAATAGGAAGTTGCCCAGCTCAGGACCTCCTTGCCTACAGCAGATGCTTGCTAAACATTCCCCAGAGCACTGGACCTTGTTTTTAATTATTTAAATGACCAAAGCTTGGAGGGCCCCCTCCAACACACAGTTCAAGAGTATTAAAAACTTGACCCCTAGACCTATAGATCCTTAAACTCTTTCCAGAGAACCTCTCTGGTGGACTACATTTCCTACAGCACAATCCTTTGCCTGGATTGAAACTGCACTGGCACGGGAGAACTGGAAAAAGTAGTATCTGAATCTTGGATGATAAAAAACGGGTCAGCACTGGCCAGTTAATTCAGTTTGATGTGGTTCTGAAAAGGTAAAAAAGTAAATATATCCTAAATACAGTCTTCTTAAACCTCTGGATCTCCCACCCCAAGAAACCCATACTTTTTTTTTTTTTAAGCCAACTGGCAGCATAGAGAAAGTTAAAAAAAAAAAAAAAAAACTATGGAAGCTATCTGAAGATGTATGCATTTTCCCCTTGAGTCATACCTAGTGATAGTTGATGTGATATGCATCTCAAATACAATACAGGTAAATCCAGATTAAGTTCTGTGCCTTCTAGATGTACAAGGCAAGGTCCAGGCTATATATTTTGGAAGCAACTCTGAAATTCGTTTAGCCCTCAGCTGCCAATGTGTACAAAAGGGTTCAACTTTCAGTTGGGCTGGTCTCAGCCAATGTTTTATAATTGTTCCTGAAAACTCATTGTTAATATTTGTCAGCTATGGGGCACACAGGATCATTCCTGGGAAAATTAAAAACAAAAATCAATACCAGTGGAGCTATTTTATTTTAATGGCTTCTCTGGGAGAGGAAAAAAACAGGTTCCCCTCACTCCTCTGGGATCCTGAAGTCCAGGGAAAGAAAATTATGAAAGTAGAAATAGGAACATTGTAGAGACAAAAGGGAAAAAAATAACTAATGTTCAAATTCAGAGTGCCAAACTCTGCCATGAACAGGAAAGATGCCCAGGGAGGCAATCAACCTCCTCCCATGTCCTCTGCCAGCTCCCTCAGATCTCTAAAGGAGTGCAGACAATTGGGGAAAGGGTCTTACTTCTTCAGGGAAAGTGCTAGAATCTCAACACAACTCTAGCCCTTTATAGGAAGTCCTGTATATGCATTTGCTGATACCTTGACGGCGTTTCCAGGACGTTTTAGTCACCTTTTTCTGGCAGCATGACCTTCGGCACTCTATGTAGTTGCCTCTACTAGCCAATTTTTTTCTTTATCTCTTAAATGCGAGATAATAATCCACACCAGAGATGGCTCTTGTGGTAATTAAATTCAATAGGCTATATAAAGTAACTGGAAGGAGTAGGGACTCAGTTTAAAAAAAAAACAAAACTATTGTTGTGTGTCAGAAGCAATAACAATTTATCGAGTGCTTTATTTCTGCCAGGTATCCAAAAATGAGGTACATCGCCCGCCTTCATGGAGTTCACAATAGATTCTTTGTAAAATTTCTGAGGCTGAGAATTTATCTCGGCCTCAAAAAGTGTCCTGATTTAGGTACATGGTCCCTTACTGAGGATTGGCTTCGACACGTAGTTCCCAGGGATGTTTAAGTAGTTTCCTTATTTGCTAGTAGAAAAGTGGGGGTTTCAATGAGAACTCAGCCACCGCGGTGCTTTAGTACCTGAACCTGTTCGGGATCTCTTTTATTTTTTCCAACTCATCGCTGCGGGTGGAGATTATTTTCCCCATTTTACAGATGAAAAGCCCAAGGCTAGGAGCAGCTAGGTACGCTGCCCAAAGGTCATGCAGGTAGACAGTGGAAGGCGGCCAGAAGCACGGCGCGAGGCCGAGGTCTCTGCGCTCAAGTCCTCAGTCTTCCACCTTCGCGCGCTCCCCGAGGCACATTACGCGGACCAGGCCCCTTCGTGGAGCAGCAGCTTAGGGCGCCGCGAGTGGGTGAGAAAACTTTCCCTGCCAACTGTGGAGTGATGCACGCAGACCACAGCGTTTGTAACCCCGAGGACCGATCGGTGTATCCCGGCGGCTAGGAGGAGGCGGGGGCGGGGCAGAGAAGGGGGCTGTAGACGGGCCTGGGCTGCGGGCAGGCGCCAGGCGCGGGGAGATGAAAGGAGGGCTCCGGGGGAAGGGGCTGCGCCGGGTGACCGGCTCCAGCCGCGCCGGGCGCCCCGCCCCCGCTGCCCGGGGCTGAGGCGGCTGCCCGCGCCGGAGCCGCGTTAATTGCTCTCGGCCCCGGCACTCAGCCTGCGCGGAGCCGGGACAACCTCGCTCCAGGAGGAATGACAATTCGCCCTAATGGGACAACCTCGCTCCCAGAGGAGTGACAATTCCTCCTAATGGGCGCTCGTTTGCGGCCTATTCTACCGAACCCGGGTATCAGAAGCGGGCAGACTCGCGGGCGCCAACATCCGCCAGGAATTCCACAACACAGCTCGTACCCGTACCCCCACCCCCAACCCAAAGCCATTCGCTGTGTGACCTCGGGCAAAAGACTGCTCCTCTCTGACTCATTTTTCTTACCTGTGGGGTGATGGGAATGGGAAAGGCCAGACCTCATAGCAGCTGGTATCCAGAGAGATCACTTCCCGAGTTACATAGCCCGGGAAGTGGGGTAGACAGGTGTTCAGGGTCACAGCCGAGGTTCTTTGGGGTCAATGCTTTGCTTGTTTAGTTCTGAACGCTCAAGCTGGTTTTCTCCAGTTCCTCAACTACTGGAGGTCCGACTGGAGATGAGGGGTGCTGGAGAGGAGGTGGCTTTGCCAGTGTCATGCAGGTTACTGAGAGTCTCCTGAAGCCTGAGCTTTGGATGGCACCCCATTTCACAGATAAGGAAGAGGAGGCACAGAGAGAAGAGACTGGCCTGAGATCAGCTGCCCCTTAGCCTAATTTGACACTGTACCCCTGGAAGAAGCCCACCACATACACATGGAGGTTAGGAGTGGAGTGGTGACAGCTGCTGCTTGTCTCTGAGGGACTCACAGCTTGGGGGGTGGGGGGTGGGGGAATGGCAGATTCTCCAGTTGTTCCTTGCCACAGCAGGTGTCAGGGTGCAGAGGGGAAGAGCTGTGGGTTCCTGCGTTCTGTAGTTTTGTGTACAAATCCAGGCCCTACTTCTTACTATTCACCATCATCACTTGGTTCAATCTAGGTTCCCCTTTTCAGAAAATGGGCTTACTAATGCCCAGCCCACAGGATTGCTTGCTGGTGAGGACTAGGTGGGAGAACTTACCAAAAACAAGTAGCACAGAGTGTGGCTGTAGCAGGTGCTGACATCAAAGAGAGCTCTGCCTCAAATCTCATAGATCTATGCTGGCTTTAACTAGGGTTGGACCACTGATTTCCTGTGGAATTCTGGAGAAATCACTCACTTTTATGCCCTCATTTGCACCATGGGAGTACCTAGTATTCAGTAAATGCTGGATGTTATTCTTGTGTTAAATCATTATTGATATTATTTGCTACTTCCCTTTCCAATAGATATTTCTGGCAGCAGATATATCTGAGGTCCAGTGATTGAATGTTGGATGATTTGAGGCGTGAAAACGTAGCTTTTTTGAGCCTCAATTGTTTTTCCCCCTCTGTAAAATGGGAATACTCATCTGTTGAGAAGGAAGCAGATTGGCACCTGTGTAGTGAGAAGTAGGGTTAAGGGAAGAAGAATTGATTTAGACAAACAGCAGGGAATATCTCCTGTCTCCTTGCCTTGGGCACAGCTTGCTGGCATCTTCCCAGCTTTGCCTGCACTGGAGGAAA